ACATTGTCAAGGAAGGAGGCTATGTAATCTGGGGCCTAATCCTTTGCTGGAGACTATCTTACTGTCCCTGGATGCTCTGTGTTCCTATGGAATCAATTCACCTCTCAGGGAACTACCGACTCATGCCCGCCTAGTCACCAAGCTCACAAGGCTTACAGGACCATCGAGCTAGAAGATTCTCTCTTGTTCAGGTGGTCAAGTCTTTTGTATTTTGTAGTTTATTATCAGTTAGACTGAAAATTGTGTTAGTTTCCCTAAGAAAGTGCTTTTCGAGAAAGTAGAATAAATGTTCTTAATAAATTTTTTAACTATCCAAAGGAAGAAAGCAACCGGTAGTGTTGCCTAGGATCCTCACATCTGGATTTTGGACAGAATTCCCCAAATTGGCAGTGATATAGATTCTGTTTCTTGAAGCTGATGAGACTCAGCCAGAAGTTAGGCTTGGATATTTTGAAAGAGTTTTTTTCTTTTATTGTCTTGGTTCATGGTGTGGAAAAGTCCAGAAAAAACAAATGTATGTATATACTTCAATTATGTGCATCAAGGAAGAGAAAGGACGGTAAGATCTCGAGTCTTTATCAGCTTGGAAATCTGTGCTCACTCCCACACCTTAAGCTCATCACATCGATTATTGTTCAAGACATTTTTATAAAAGGACTCTTTGATGCCAAAGAACATGTAAGTAGAATGAGAGCAACAGGAAACATAAAACTAATCCCCCTCATTCGAGAAGTCATTGATCATGCTCATTAAGTCTTTTTAATTGTATGCCTATGAAATTTCAGGTTCAAGATTAGATTTCTTCTTTTGATATCAGTATGAGGTTTCCACATTAACTGTAGGAAAGGGCAGATCCTAAGGTTTGTGTGGGGGGGTTTTGTTTGTTTTTTTGTTGTTAATTCAGTTGAGGCAGTGGCTAGAAATTAAAGGGGAAAAAGAAACCTCTAAACTGTTGAGATTTAGTCATCGATATAGTTTTTGGAGTAAATTTGTATTTTGCTACTCATTGCCTGGCCAGGCAACAAATCTATTTTGTTTGGATCTGAGTACCAGTTTGGAAGAAAAAGAATTATATTGACGGTAATAGCTTAAACATGAAATTGTTTTTATTCCCAGCTTGGAGAAATTGCAGGGCACGTTTTGTTTAGGCAATCCCTTTGACTCCAGTCTGAATACAAATGGAATACCAAAACCATTGGGCATGTTCCCCCTTATCTCCTACCCAGAGACTGATTTCATTACCATAATTGCAGGCTTGCCTGGCTCTTGGCAGCTTCTCCCCTCCAAGACCCTTAAGAGCCATGCAGACAATTGTTGAGGCTCAGTTGTTCTGTCTGCAGGCTGAGGGGGATGGGACTGCAGAGGAGAAAGGGTATGTCTCCAAGGCTCAGTAGCCTGTCACTCCCCAGCTGTGCACGCCTCCTGCACTTGTCCTTCCGGGGTTGTGTGTGGGTCCCAGTCACTGTCATTCCCCAGCAGCCATCCATTCTAGCAAACAGCAATGATACAAGACATACGATGCATTCATTTTCTTCTCTTTTTTTTTCTTTTTGGGTGATTACTAAAAATTTCATCATTATCTATACACTAGAGGCCCGATGCACGAAATTCGAGCAAGAGTAGGCCTTCCTTCCCCCAGCTGCCGGCACCGGCTTTCCTCTGGCACCCGGGACCTGGGCTTCCCTCCAGCCACCTGCAGGCACCCGGGACCTGGGCTTCCCTCGCAACCCCAGCTTTGTCCAGAAGGATGGAAGGATGTCCAGAAGGATTTTGGTCTAATTAGCATATTATGCTTTTATTATGATAGATATGCAAAGACTAGGGTAATGGTGGTAGCATGGAATAAATCGAACGGTGTGCTTCTAGGCATTCCACACCAGAGGAAAGATACACTTGACCTGCCGCAGCCCAAGTATACTCTGGTATTGAAGGCCACACTCTTGATCTTGTGTTTGGACCACACAAGGCCACAGCCCAGGCTCACCATCAGCTGGGCAACTTCCTTTGAATGGTAAAAGGAGAAGAATGCAAAATTTCCCATTCCTAACACAAAAGGAAGAGGCTGTTTGTCTCAGGATGGGCACACCCTGGTGCAATTTGGCAGAGCATACCAGCAACTCTCTCAAACGTCGGGTTAGGGCAAAACTAGAAATCCATCTGCCCAGTACATCTTGCGCTGATTACTTGGAGCACGTGTTTCTGATTCATTTGCACATAACTCATCCAGGGGGTGTTGCAAGAGCTATGTGATGGCCAAAGGAACACGATGAGTTTTTATTATATTTTTGAAACAAGTTTCTCTACATTGATTGTCTCTCAGAGCCAAAGAAGCTGCATTCTTCCAGCCCTGTGACTTCCAAACGAGGCTCAGTAAATTAGAGAGCAAGTTCTAACCTTGGCTCTGGGACTATCTGTTTTGAACCTGAGGGTTAGTTGAGTGGTGTATGTGCTGGGTCTGGACCTCAGGACAAGTGAAAATCCCAGCTGTGAAAGCCTGGACATTGAGGACCTTGTGTTCACATCTCTACACAACCTGTGGCATCCAGCATCACCCGCATCTGTGGCCTCTTTGCTCCCTTGGTTGCATGAGGGGACAATACCTCTGTTCCTTACTTGTTGAGAGGGGCAGTGTGGCAAAGTTGGAGTAAGAGTGTGGGCTCCAGAGCTACACTAGCCATGTCTGCCAGATACTAGCTGTGTGACTTTAGGCAAGTTGTTAACTTCTCTGTGTGCCAGTTTTCTCTGTCTATAAAAAGCTCTGCATTGCCTTCTGTCAACCACCCCAAAACTCAGTAGCTTGAAGCAGTAACCATCGGATTGCTCATGGTACCTATGGTTCATGAATTGGAGCAGGGCTCAACCGGCAGAGCTCATCTCTGTATCACATGATATCAGATGGGATGACCCAACTGGGCTGCAGGATCCAAGATGGCCCCACTCATACAACTGGGACCATGGAGCTGGCCAGTGGCTGAGGAGCCTCAGTTCTCTTCTCTGCGGCCTCTCTCTTCATGTGGTCTCTATGTGAACAGTCATCTAGGCTGGGCTTCCTTACTTAATGGTAGGAACATTCCAAGAGAATGAAAATGGAAGCTGCAAGACCTCATGAGATTTGTCTCATTGTAACTCCTCCCACAGTCTACTGGACAAAGTGTGTCACAAGGCCAGCCCAGATAGAAAGGGAGAGGAAGTCAACTGCATCTCTTGATGGGAGGTGTGGCACCCACATACAAAGATGGGAGGGATTATCTGGACCATCTTTGCAGATCATCAATTATAGGGGCCAATCAACCAAACTTATAAGGTCATTATGAGGATTAGCTAAGTTAATATATGGCAGAGCACTTGGAACCATGCCTGGTACAGAGATAGTACTCAATAAGTGTTCAGTTTTATTATAATTATTCTTGAGGCACTTCAGGAACATATATAATACATGTTTACTCCTTGAATTAGGGACTTCCCAGCAATGTAATCTTCAGTAAACCAGTGACCCTAGTGATGAATTGTCTCCTTCCACCCAAGGCCCACGTACTTCATTCTCTGTAATCGTGGGGTTCACTTGGGCCATCCCTGGATGTTTGCCATTCTGTATCACCATGCAGTCTCTGCTATCCTTCATGAGGGACACATCCATCATTTGCCTCTGGTATCCCAGACTTTCTTTCAAGGGTCACCCAGCTTGGAGGCTATTGACTCCTCATTGACCCTGGCCTGTTCTGAATTCTTCAGGTCACCATAGAGGTGGTGGACGGTCCTGACTCTGAAGCAGATAAAGATCAGCATCCGGAGAATAAGCCCAGCTGGTCAGTCCCATCCCCTGACTGGTGGGCCTGGTGGCAGAGGTCCTTGTCCTTGTCGAGGGCCAACAGCGGGGACCAGGACTACAAGTACGACAGTACCTCAGATGACAGCAACTTCCTCAACCCTCCCCGGGGGTGGGACCGTCCGGCCCCAGGCCACCGGACTTTTGAAACCAAAGAGCAACCAGAATATGGTGAGTTTACCACCCAGTAATATAAAATTGGTGGGGAAAATAAATGAGGATGATGAGGAAATGGAGCCAAGCAAAACCCAGTTTACAGTATGTGGCTTTTGGTCTTCTATGAGGCGTACCTCATAAAGACTCTATTCCACAGAAGCCCCAAGGAGGCACCAGCAGCCACATTTTTCTGGAAAGACTATAATTTTAAAATCACACCAATTATCCTAGGAGAGAAGTTTTTTTTCAGTCAGGGGTCTTTGAGGTTCTTCCTTTTTTCCAAAAAAAAAAATAGTTTTGTTTATAAAAAGGAAGAAATCAGCAAATCAGTTTTCTTGTATATTTTACTGTAAAAATGCATATGGAAAATTAATTTGGTAAAAGAAATGTATCGGCTGCTTCCTTTGACCAGGCCACTGTGTTATGTTTGACATTGGCAATAGTGTGGCCCTTGAGAATCCACATGAACGTATGCTTCAAGGGTTGTCCAAATGAGACCTCCCCACCAATAAATTTTAAGACCCCAAGTAGGGACTTCTACTGTCTCATGTTTTAGAGTAAGGTGAAATAACAAAACTTTCAAATTCAGTAATTTAAATAATAGAAGTTCATTTTTAATTTGAAATGGGAGACAGGGTAAGGGGAACTCAGCCCCACTCAGTCATTCAAGAACCTAGGCTCCTTCCATCTTGGCACTCCTCCAACTGTTAGGGCCTGAGAGTTATCCAATGGATGCTCTAATAACCAGCTCAGCCAAGGGGGAAAATGCAGCCTGAAAAATGTACACATGCTATTAAACCCCTCGGCTTGGAGATAACACACATCACATCTGCTCAAATTTGATTGGCATGACCTGATGATTTGGCCCCACATAGCTGCAAGGGAGGCTGGGAAATGTATTCTGTGTGTCCAATAAGAAGAAGCAGCCTTTGTGAGAAATCAGACAGTGTGCCTTTTGCTATAGAATATTTGCAGTCTTATAAATGCATCCATCATTGGGATATTCTGTGGCTTTACCATCAGCAGACTTAGGTGCAAACACTGTCATGAACTCTCACTCTTACACCTGTGTTTCAGCAGAAAGACCAGTTGTATGTTGGAGAGTTATTTCTTCCCACTGAGCAACTTCCAAAACAGCAAGATAATTTTTTTCCTGCTGCATCATTTAGTTGTTCAACAGATATTTATTTATTTATTTATTTATTTATTTATTTATTTCCTCGCCTGAACATATGTTTCTATTGATTTGAGAGAGAGAGAAACATCAATGTGAGAGAGAAACTGATTGGTTGTCTCCCGCACATGCCCTGACTGGGGATCAAACCTACAACTTAGATATGTGCCCTGACCAGGAATTAAACCTGCAACCTTTTGGTGTATGAGACAATGCTCCAATCAACTGAACCACCAGGTCAGGGCTCAACAGACATCTATTAAGAGCATATCTTGCGATCAGTATTATGTTAGGTGCTGGGAATAAAAAAAAATGAGTAAGACACAGTCCTTCCCTACAGTGGTCCTCACCTATCTGTGGACAAGGGGAGAAAAATTAACTGATAAAGCAAAATAGTGCCATTGTGGAAATACACATCAAATGCGAGGGGAGCTGAAAGAGACCTCCCAAACCCCTTCCAGCCAGGAGACTCGTGAAAACTTCCACATTCCCAGAGGAAGTCCAATTTATCTACTGCCCAGGAAGAAGGACTCGGAATAGTAGCCAACATACATATAGCATTTAACATGTACCAATCCTTCTTCACGGCATCTAACATGCAGTGCTCCTTTAATCAGCTCTCTGAGCCAGGTGCCCCATTTTACAGATGGGGAACCTGAAGCCTGAGAAATTAAGAAACTTGACCTCAAGGATTTATCTCAGTCAGTTGGTCCAAAGTCTGTCCTCTTAATCACTATCTTATTCTGCCTCTCTTGTGCGGGGGTGGGAAGGAAACACATCCTTTAGGAGAGGGGAGTGGATCTAGAAATGGTCACTTGGACTGGAAGATAGGAATAAAAGATTGGATCAGTGCTATTGAACAGAGAAACAAAGCACACAGGATCCTGGGTGCTAGCCTGACATTGCACAGCTCTGTGGCTAAACCTGTTTGCCCAGCCCACACAGAACATTTTTTCTATGAGTGGGGCTTAGACCCTCGGCATCAGAATCCCTTGGTTGCATGTTTAAAAATGCCAATCCTAGCCCCAACCCCATCCTTCTATCCTAATGGTCCTCAAAGTGTGGTCCCTAAACTGGCAGCATCAGCATCATCTGGAACCAGGATAAAAATGCAGATGTTCAGTTTCCTGGTCCCTGGGCCGCCTGAATCAGATATTCTGGGTGTGGGTCCCCAAAATCTATGTTTGAATGAACTTTTCAGGAGCCTCTGGAACACTGAGTATTCAAAATCAACAGTTCTCAGTTGTTCATTATGCTCACCTGGGGAATTGTTTGAAACCCTAGTGCCCAGATTTCTCTCACCAGTAAGTTGGGAATCTCTGGAGGTGGGGCCCAGACATCTGTGTTTTTTAAAGCTCCATGAGTGACTTTGATGTGCAGCTCAGGTTGAGGGCCACTGCCGACCTGCTACTAAACCAGAATGTCCAACAGCGAGACATAGGCTCAGTCTGTCTTTGTTTCTTTTTTCAACCAAGGTCAGCAGGCTATCCCCGTGCTCACTGAATTTTGAAGACTAACACTAAAAACAGCTCTTTCACTAAAGCTTTTATAGAGCACCCTCAGTTGAATTCATGAAATTAAGAACATATTCTATTTCAATCTTGAGGATAGAATTTGCTTCTATTGGAGCAATTACTATGGCTGCCTCAGCCACCCTCACCCCAGCTTTCGGGCCTATGATACCCGCAGAGTGCCTTGCATCTGAATCTTACAGCATCCCCAGGCCATGAAGAAACTCAGTCTTTTGTGATTTTGGAGTCTCTCTTAGTAACTTCCTCATCGTTGGGCTAGATATCAGGATTGCTACTTTATAAAGAAAAATATGTCCCTTGTAATACTTCTAAATCAGTGTTTTTTAGACTTCAATATGCACACAAAAAACCTGGGGGTCTTGTTAAAATGAAGGTTCTGATGCCCTGATGCCGTAGATGTAGAAAAGGGTGGGAGCCCAGGTGAGGCTGATAACCTGGGGGTCTTGTTAAAGTGAAGGTTCTGATGCTGTAGATGTAGAAAAGGGTGGGAGCCCAGGTGAGGCTGACATAGTTGGCCTTTGGGCCACACTCAGAGTAGTGCCAAGACTCTCAGCATGTCGCAGATGCTCAGTAGTATTTGCAAAACGAATGAAATATTGCTTCTGAGACCGGCTCACAGGGAACATGTGATTTTCAGAATTCCTTACAGCATTGGCCCAGCTGAGTCCTCTTTTATTTCAATCAGCAAGAAACTATAGTGCCGTTTCCAAGTATGTAGCCCTAGATTAGATGCTGTGGAGGATACAGGGAGTGACCACACTGCTCGGGAAGGAGAGGCTCATGCAATGACAAAGCAGCACAAGTCATTGTACCTAAGTGTCGGCTCCCTTGTCTGAGACAGGCTGACATTGCTACAGGAATTGGGCTTTCTGGAGGATCTGGATCTCAGATTTTTGAAGGTAGGATTTTTAATAGGAATTGAAATGTATGTGGCCAAAGAGTATTTCAAAAAATTCTAGGTGAAATAAATAAAATAGTATGGCATCTTTAGAATAAATTATAAAGTACACAACAGAAGTTAGTTAGACCTAACTTGTGATCATGGAAACGAGTAAGCTCAACTTTGGACTGTATGTGTTTGAGATACTGCATTTTAAATACCTTCTATGTAAATACTGAGGGTCTCACCCAGGGCAACAAAAGAGTTCAAATAAATGTCTTTCTGTTAAATAGAAGTATACCATTCCCAAAGTTGTTCAGAACAATCTGAAAAATAAACAATGGGCACTGCTTATTGTAACCGAGGTTGAGACTCAATTCTTTGCAATTCTTTAACTGGTCATGATCCTATTTTAATAGATTTCAGTGATTTTTTTCAAGGGTTTTCCTTTGTAATGTTAAATTGTGGCCACATAAGTGAGTGTCTTAAAGAAAGGAGGCCAATCTGGGCCAGAAGTAGAACTGCTAGAATGCCAAAATATAGAACAGGATATAGAGCAGGAGCTGACAGACCTCAGATCTAATCCTAGCTCTGCCAAGTTTGAGCTGTGTGGCCTTAGGCAAGTACCTTAATGTCTCTCAGCCTCAATTTCCTTACCTGTAAAAAGAAGCTATTTCCACCTACCTTGCAGGATTGTGACAGGAGTTAAATCAGTGTGTTAGGCAGGGCAGCTGGTGAAAGCAGTCCCTCAATAATGGGTAGTCACTATCTCCTAGGATTAGTGGTGGAGGCTTGCCAGCAGCTGACTCAAGACCCGAGTCACTTCAGTTGCCCAAACATCGTGACTGGGCCACTGAACTCTAGTGCTTGAAACAGTATAATGACTACTTTAAAATTTCAAATGACATCCTTGAAAACCAGCTGTCACTCACGGTACTGTGCATTGTTTTCTTCCCTTGCTGAGCAATTGGATGTTACAGATAGGGGCTGTCAAATCTCAGGGACTGTTTTTTACTGTCATTATTGCCATCTTTGCAGTTGCTGCTGCTCAAGTTCAGTTTCTGCTCTGAGCAATGCTCCCCGCCTGGTAGGTGAGCGAATGAGAACTAGTGTTTGATTATAGCAGAAAGGACGCCTGCCCTCAAATCTTTGTTCACTGTGAGAAGTTCCCTTTCTGTCCTTTGAACACATTAAACAAATAGAAATCGCCAAGGAGAGGACCTTTGCTGGAGCATTCATCCGGGACAGTATGCTATGGAGGCTTAGGGTTGTGGGCTGACATACACACCTTCCTAGGAGGTGGTTTTATTTCATTACTAGCCCAATAGAAATGACTAAATGCCTGGCAATATAATGTTCTGTGCCTAACTCTGAGGGCCCCATATAAAAAGTGCTTGGAAAATAAATGGCTTTGTGAGCACCTAAAATAAAGGCATGAAGAACCCACTTGCTAGGATGAGAACTTCTTCATGGTTCTGGAGTCTGCTAACCATCGAGAGAACATATCTTAGGGAAAGTGTTATGGTATATGTATAACAGTTAATTTTTGTTGCTTCAGAAAACACCCCAAAATTCAGGGCTTCTCTGGGCTGGCTGCGGGGGAGGGGGGAGGGGGGATGGAGGTCCAGGATGGCTTTATTCACAATGCTGGCATCCCAGCTGGGCAGCTGGGGAGGGAGATGGCTGGGCCTCTCCCCACCTGCTTCCTCACCCTTCAGGACCCGCCCCGGGCTCCTCACATGGTGGTGGAAGAGCCCTAATACAGGAGCATTCTTGCAGCCTCTGTTTGCATCACACTTGCTATGTTCCCATTGGTCAAAGCAAGTCAGGTGGGCCGGGCTAGGGTTGGTGTGAGAGGAGAGTAAGCAAAGGGAAGTAGAATTATGGACATCACTTTTCACATAATCGGACAGTAATTGACACCAAATAATTTTGATCCAAGATTCCAAAACAAGAATGTATCTAATGCAGAGGTTCTAATATAAGCATCATGGTGATTTTAATGCTAAAATCTCCAAGTTAAGGGTGACATTGCCCAAAATTAGCTCTCCATATTACTGCCACACTGAGGGAAAGGTTGCAAGAGATATCTAGATGGTTGGGGCCCTGTTGCTTCTGCTGAGTCAAGCAGGACACCTCTTGGCATCATGGGATTGTGTCCTGTGCCTGTCCCATCACACAGGTGACATGGCCCCTACCTCTGTGGTATAATAAGCTTTTTCTGTCTGACCCACTGCCCGCTTCCTATGAACCTAAAGACATTATATCTCTGCTTGTGACTCATTGTTGTTCCCTTTAACAAACCTGGCCTCGTGGGTGCATATAGGTTGTGGTTGAATGTGGTCACAGGTGCGTATAACCCTCTGCACCCGGATGCTCCCACTGACAAGAGTGAAGTCACATGGTTGTTCCAGGCACCCTCTGGTGTTCCTGGTGAAATTAGCAAGAGATCCCAGACTGCAAAGTCTCGGAGGGAGCAGCAGCGGCCCCTAACTCTGTGATGTGTCCCTCCGGAAGCATCCAGTTCCGCTGTTCGTGCCCAGTAAGAGAGGGGAGCAAGGAGGAAGGCTAAGGCTGGGGAAGCAGGCCCAGCTCCGTCACACAAAGCAGTCATTTCAAACATCTGCTTGGCCATATGGTTGGAAAACCATTTCTTAGAAGAAAATCAAAGTTTGGAAAAATTTGTTTGGGGAGGGAATAGAAATGAATGGGGCCCCCGGGGGCAGTCGATGTGTGAACAAACGCTCTACTCTGGGGTAGGGAAGAGAACACCATGAATCACCCCCCAGCCTACCTCTGCTGAATGGGCTGAGGAGACTCGGGAGCCCTGTGTTTGCCTGAGGAGTGTTCAAAGTGAACTCCATGTAAACAACAGCCCGGAGGCTGGCACAGGGCCCGCAGTTCAGGTAGAAACATGTGTGGACTGCATTCTTGCCCGACCTACATGATAATAATCACCACGACCTGTTATGAATGGAGAGGACCCCTTCCCTGCAAGGCACATGCCTGTACCTCTGCGCTTGGCACCCACAGAGGCCCAGGCTGTAGAAGCATTTGGCTAAACCAGGAGAAATGACTACTGAGTGGAGATGCTTCCGAAAGAGCCAAGCTTTTGAGATTAAGAGTTTAGCGCTAGAGCCCAAGTGTTCCTTTCTGTCTCCATTATGACCTTAGATAGTCACTCAATCACTCCAGGGTTTAGTTTCATATTTTTAAAAAGACGAATTTACTGTTGATAATACACCAGCCTCTCACCACCTCTCACTATCCAGACCCCCCTACCCTGGTCTGCTTCTCCTTTCATGTCATTCATCGACTTCCAATCTGCTGTATAATTTACTCATTTTTTGTTTACTAATTATTGGCTGACTCTTCTCACTAAAATATTAGTTCCACCAGCACAGGGAATCGTTGGAAGTTTTGTTTAATGATATACCCTACATACACAGAATTGTGCCTGGCATATAATAGGGGCTCAGTAGGATGGATGTTGAGCAATGACCTCAAAGAACCATGTAGCTTCACCATTGTGTATCTGTTGTCTACTGCTGTGTAACAAAACATCCCCAAACATCATGGCTGAAAACAGCAGCTCTTGATTATTTCTTATGATCTCATAGCTCGAGAGTTCAAGCAGGGCCACACTGGGCAGTCCTTCCACTCCTGAGGGCGTCAGCCGCATTCAGCTATCCACTGCAAAGGGCTGGAAGCTTCATGAAAGCTTCACTCGCATGTCTAGGGTTTTGGTGGGCCTTCATGTGGCTTCTCTCTTTCCATGTGGTGTCCTGTAATTCACAGGTTGAGCCTCAACTGGATTCCTCAGAGCAAAAGTCAGAAGCTGCCAGGCCTCCTAAGGCCAAAGCTCACACAGATTCTAGGGGACATAGTCTCTCTCTCTCTCTCTCTCTCTCTCTCTCTCTCTCTCTCTCTTCACTGTAAATGTAGGCACAGGGAGGTAAGGAACTAATGGTGGTCATCTAAATACATATCATATTATTTCATGATCCTATGCTCTGCAAATGTATGCATTCTCAATAAGCACTCACTCGGCACCTGTTGGGGCTGTCAGGCCCTGGTCATGGGCTGACCACATCAGTGCCCAAATCCTCAGACAGAGTCACTGCCTGCATGAGGTATATCCTTAAAATGAGCCCTGGAGCTGTAAGCCTTTTGACTCCAGCAGGCATCTGGGCCCCTCCAACAGTGAGAGTAATTCAGGGGGACAATTGGCAGGCTGCTTGTCGGGTGGGTTTGGGGACTCTTTTGGTGAGGCTGTGACTGTCTCCCTGGCTCCCTTCCAGATTCCACCGATGGGGAGGGCGACTGGAGTCTCTGGTCTGTCTGCAGCGTCACCTGTGGGAACGGCAACCAGAAGCGGACCAGGTCCTGTGGCTACGCATGCACTGCCACAGAGTCTCGGACCTGTGATCGTCCAAACTGCCCAGGTGGGTTTATGCTCCAAGTTCAAGTTCAGTCTTGCCCTTGAGCTTACTAGGTGAAAAGATGTTGGAGATGAAAAATAATTGTGACTGTCAGTAGCAGTAGTTGTCACACTCCAGCCTGTTTTTGTGTGGTCCACACATGTTTAAGGAGTTGTAAAGAAGAAGGAGGGGAAGAAAAAGAAGTAGAAGAAAAGAAGGATAAAGAGAAGGAAGAGTATGTGACCAAGACCATATGTGAACCACAAAGCATGAAATATTTACTCTCTGACCCTTTACAAAAAGTTTACCAACTCCTGGTCTGTAGTTTTACATTCACTGCGTGTTCCCCACTTCAGGTAGAATACCAATCTATAATAATAAAAACGTAATATGCTAATTAGACTGGACAGCCGAACAACCTTCCAAATGTCCTTCCAGGTGACCTTCCGGATGAAGCCAGGGTTGTGAGGGCCAAGAACCTTGCACGAATTTTGTGCATCAGGCCTCTAGTCTAAAATAATATCTTAGGCTCTCCCAAGAAACCACATATTCCAAATGGCTACATCTTAAAGAAATTCAGGCACAGAAAAGTTAATCTCTGCACCCAGAACTTCCGTTTCCTACCCCTGAACTCTGCTCTCAAATTGTAAGGCTGAGATTTGGACCAAAAAAGAAGTGAAAGAGCTCTAGATGGTTTGGCTCGGTGGATAGAGCATTGGCCCCAAATAAATAAATAAATAAATAAATAAATAAGTGAAGTGGAAGGGCAAAGGGGTTTCTGAGGAGAGAAGGATAAGATTGAGCATGTGTGTGTCAGCCAAGGTGTATGTGTGTAGAAAACAGGGCTGAAATATCAGAAGTGGCTGGGCTGGTGCCCTGTCAGCCATGCAGATGGATTTCAGAAAATGGAGCAAACATCAAGATGCTTTTCCTGTGAAAATTTCCTGAATAAAGCTGAGTTAGAAGTCTGATAGGATGGGATTTGGATGGATAGAAATAAAGCAATCTATACTAATAAAAGGGTAATATGCTAATTAGACCAGAAGTCCTTCCGGACAAAGCCGTGGTGGCGGAGCCAAAGCAGAGGCAGTTAGGGGTGATCAGGCCAGCAGAGGAGAGCAGTTACGGCAATCAGGCTGGAAGGGGAGAGCAGTTAGGGTGATCAGGCTGGCAGGGGAGGGCAGTTAGGGGGGTTAAGCCAGCAGGAGAAAGCAGTTAGGGTGATCAGGCCAGTGGGGGAGAGCAGTTAGGGGGATCAGGCCAGCAGGAAGGTGAGCGGTTAGGAGCCAGCAGTCCCAGATTGCGAGAGGGATATCTGACTGACGGCAGTCAGACATCCCCAGAGGGGTCCTGGATTGGAGAAGGTGCAAGCCGGGCTGAGGGACACCCCCCACTTCTGTGCACGAATTTTGTGCACCGGGCCTCTAGTAAATAATAATAATATGATAAGGAAGAAAAGGAGTACAGGAAGAAAATGAAAGAAGAGAAGGAGAATCTGAAGAAGATGAAAAAGATAATGATGAAGATAAGAGGAAGCAAAAGAAAATGAAGATAAATATGAAGATGGTGAAGGTATTGAAGAAGAAACAAAAATATGATTATGAAAAATAGGATTTTTCTAGTATTTTGGTATCAATCAAATCTCTAAGGTCATTATATGTATTATTTCATTTAACTTTACAATAGCCTTATGAAATAGGTATTTATTATTGTGCCCATTTAACAGTTGTGAAAACTGAGACACTGGCTTCATTTGCCTAGAGCAGTGATGGCGAACCTTTTGAGCTTGGCGTGTCAGCATTTTGAAAAACCCTAACTTAACTCTGGTGCCGTGTCACATATAGAAATATTTTTATATTTGCAACCATAGTAAAACAAAGACTTATATTTTTGATATTTATTTTATATATTTAAATGCCATTTAACAAAGAAAAATCAACCAAAAAAATGAGTTCGCGTGTCACCTCAAGTCCAGCCAGTCTAATTCCAGAGACCATGTTCTTAACCATGAAACTATTCCACCTCCAGCAGAAGAAAGGGTATCAGGCTCAGCCACACATGGACACAGACAGCATTTAAAGTCAGGGCTCGGGGGATTGCCTCTTGTTCCTCTTCCAGAGCTGGCATCCAGACCCAAGATGGTCCATTTAGACAGCTTATTAGGGGAGGGGTCTTCTCTGTCGCCGTTTTTAATATTGCCTCCTCATTTTCTCTCACACTGAGAGCAGTGTGGCCTGCAGCCCTGTCCCCACATTTTCTTCTCATCAGACCTTGCCTTCCTTCCATCCTTTCTGCCTCTCTGTTCCCGGCTCTTCCAGCTTTTCAGGACTCTCTTGAAACATGAAGGATTTTTTTTTACAGGATTTCTTTCCTTATTGGGTGTGTTGATTCTCAACCATATTGAAAAGAATTTCGGAGCAGGTGGTCTCCCTGGCCTGGTAGCACTGTAAAAGCTTGTCCCATAGGTCAACCTTATAAATAAGTTCAAGGGGCCTCACCTAAAATCAAAGAGAGCCCCTTAAAGGAAATCAAGTCATGCCTAATAGGCAGCCCAGGCTCTCCAACCCGTCTACATCCCACAACTCCTGCCTCACCTGACTGCCTCGGCTTGCACAGGATTCTTGTCTGTAAAGGAAGCCTGGGTGGGGTGGCAGTTTGGGAGGGGAGGAGAGCCAAGAAGTTTGAGGCAAGCTGGGTTCGGTCCCTCCAAGCAAGTAATGACAGGCCCAGCTTACTCTTTCTGAAGCATTATCAACAATGCTAAAAGTCCCAGAATATGAGCTACCTGGTCTTTGGCTATGGACTACTGCATCCTCAAAATGAGCTAGACAAATATTCAAGGAACAACATCAGAGAACTCTTGCTACTTACTACTTAGTCTAAGTGCTTTCTCTACACATAACTCATTTAATTTATTCAACTCTGTGTGGTGGGTCCTTTATTTCTCCCCATTTTACAGATGTGAAAATAGTTACACAAAGGTTAAGTGGCTTTCCCAAGGTCACACAGCTAGTAATGATTGAACCCAGTCAATCCGTCTGTCCTTAAGACTGGTATTGACTTCTAGACTGGTATTGGCCACTGCCTTTAGTTTAGTTTGTCATCCTGACACCACCAGGCAGACAACCATTTTGATGTGTGTCCCCCACTGCCCAACACTGCACTCTTGGACCTAGTGAATGAGTTCCTTAGGACTCAGTCAGGCACATTTGGATCTGATTTTATGCTGCACATGGTATCTGGGGTTTTAATATATTTTATGCTCTGCTACCTGCTTTTTACTGTTTCCTCTGTTGGCAAGTTTCTACCCATGAATAGTAATGAACACAAAAAAAGGCTTTGTTGAGGTGTATTTGTTTTTTTAATTGGTGGGGGCGGGGGTGGGGGCTTTTTCCATATAACCAGGGGAAAATGAGCCCTGTCTGTGTTTAGGAATTGAAGACACCTTCAGGACAGCTGCCACCGAAGTGAGTCTGCTTGCGGGAAGCGAGGAATTTAATGCCACCAAACTGTTTGAAGTCGGTAAGATTTTTTTTTCTTTTTTATTCAAATATTGATTTAGTATTTTGGACATTCCTTTTGCCTTTGCAATGTCATCCTTGGATCCATTTAAATGTTTCCTTTTCCTCATATGGTGTCCAATTCTCCCAGCATGTTTCTTGCACAAGATCGTTTCTTAATCCAGTGCTGCCTCCGTTGTCTGATCTGTAAAATGGTATGAGGAACTATGCCTACCTTATAGAGTTGTTGTAGAATTAAATGAGTTCATATTTGTAAAGGGTTTAGAACATGTCGCTCACACTGGACATCTACATAAGTTTGATGGATAAAAATAAGTCGATGGATGTACTTTAGGTACATGAATTTTGATGACCAGCCACTCTGGAGGGAAAATGCACTGAATGTTGTTTCTGAAGACCCTGCCCTCTGAAGGAGACCCCCACTGACTTTCAGACACACACTTCCCAGGATGGAATCTCCACTCTCTCAGCTACTGCTCAGTCAGGGGCTCGCAGGGCTGGGATCGGAGAACTCAGAGCCCAAAGGAGCCTCAGCACACCCCTGTGGGCAACACCCTGCTCGTGTCCTTTCTGTGCTCCCTCCCATTTAATCCTTATCTCACTTCATGAGGCAGGCGCTGTTTATGTCTTCAGTTTGGCGATGAGAAAACTGAAGCACAGTGAGGGAGAACAGCTTGCTCAAGGTCACAGAGCTACTAAATAGTAGATTCGGGGTTCGATCCCAGGCAGTCCAGCACAAGAGCCCCCACTTTTCAACTAGGCCAGGCCTCGTTGAGCTCCTGAGAGATGCCCCATCTCACTTCCTCATTCCACTGAAGAGGACCCGAGCTCTCCTCCAAGCTGCCTGCCCCCATCCTGGCCACTTGATTTCCACTCATGACACCACCAGCCTCCCAGGCACCTGGGTCAGAGCTGGTGAGTCATCTTGAATGTCCTCCTCCCTTTACCCCCAAGCCCGCCAAGGCCTAGCAGCCTTCTTTCTCTAACTATTGTTGGTCACACCTGCTGTTCCCTCCCTGGATTCTTACAATTGATACCAGCACTGAATATATCTTCTAACTGTACAGCTCAATTAGTAGCTCACTATGGCTCAAAAACCTTCAGCCCAGCCGGTGTTGCTCAGTGGTTAAGCATCAACCCAGGAACCACTAGGTCACTGGTTCCATACCCAGTAGGGCACAAGCCTGAGTTGCAGGCTCGATTCCCACCAGGGGGCATCTAAGAGGCAACTGATGGGTGATGTTTCCCACTAATGTTTTTATCTCTCTATTCCTCTCCTTTCCTCTCTCTCTAAAAAAATGCAATATAAACATAGTTTTTAAGAAAAAATCTTCAGTGGTTACCTGGTGCTCTCTGAACAAGCCTCACCTGCGTCGAAGATGTCCATGATCTGACACAACCTGCTTCCCCACAACCTTCATTGAAACTGACTGTGTTCCCTACCACCAGACAACCCACCAGATTTTTTTCTGCTCAACCTTAGTTTGCACAAGTGGTCACACTTCCCCTGTTCACTCAGCCAGTTGTTCCCATAGAGCAGTGGTCGGCAAACTCATTAGTCAACAGAGCCAAATACCAACAGTACAACGATTGAAATTTCTTTTGAGAGCCAAATTTTTTAAACTTAAACTATATAGGAAGGTACATTGTTATTAACTTAATTAGGGTACTCCTACGCTGTCCTTTGCTAAAAACGTCCTCAATCTGATTGAGGTACGTTCGCTGAGGTCGACCCCTTCCAACTCTCCCATCCACCCTCGTCTTGTATACTTGTTTCGTCTATCTCCTTTCATTCATCCTCTCTATATGTCCAAACCATCTCAACATCCCTTTCCCAATCCTCGACACTACATCTTCTTTCACTCCACAACGTTCCCTAAAATTAACTTAATAAACTTTACTTAAAGTTTTAAGTCAACTTCGCACTGTACGTGCGCACCCGCACGTGGTATTTTGTGGAAGAGCCACACTCAAGGGGCCGAAGAGCCGCATGTGGCTCTCGAGCCGCGGTGTGCCGACCACTGCCATAGAGCAATGCAGGACCAGCATAAACATATCTTTTGGTTTTTAAACCAGGAAGCCATATTAATACTTGGAACCACCTATTTTAACTGTTAGCAATTAATTCACTATTTTTCATACTACAAAGGCCAAACACAACAACTATGGGGGCGGGTTCAGGCTCCAGCCTTATAGGGAAGGGGGCCTCTGGCCTAAATGTTAAGTTCCTTAAAAGCTGGGGCCACCAGCCAGCCGCTTCCCTTTGGAGGCATCTTTTCATACGGATTTGCATACAATAATTATTGCCATTTAGTGCTTAAGGTTAAGAGGTTAGGGCACTAGACCTAGTTTTAATTGGTCAGTGACCCGGCAGAAATACAACTCAATCCTACAAATGTTACTTGTAAGCATTTTCTACCCCATCACCATGCGTTGAAAGAGGAGATTTAAAATGGCCCTCTGAGTTATTGTTAATTTTCTTATGGGTGATAATGGGGTATGGTTAACCCAATATCCTCCTTTTGTATTTTTACTTTTTGTAGATACCTTCTAAAACTTAGACTTAGGAATAATAATGTCATATATTTCCAAAAACAATTAAAAACTATAAAGCATATATAATGATGGTTAAATCTAGTGATGGCATACAGGTAGTCAAGTTCAAACTTCCAAAGTTAAAGGGAGGTGAGCTAGGACCGGTGGTTCCAGGGGCTGCAGGGGTTGGCTCTGGGAGGGGGTTGGGAGAGGGGTAGATGGCAATGTCACCTGCTGTCTGTTTTGCATGTGGTGAGAGGGTTTCTCTGTGGCCTTTTCCAGACACAGACAGCTGTGAGCGATGGATGAGCTGCAAGAGCGAGTTCTTAAAGAAGTACATGCACAAGGTCATCAATGACCTGCCCAGCTGCCCCTGCTCCTACCCCACCGAGGTGGCCTACAGCAGCGCGGACATCTTCGACCGCATCAAGCGCAAGGACTTCCGCTGGAAGGACGCCAGCGGGCCCAAGGAGAAGCTGGAGATCTACAAGCCCAGCGCCCGCTACTGCATCCGCTCCATGCTGTCCCTGGAGAGCACCACGCTGGCCGCCCAGCACTGCTGCTACGGCGACAACATGCAGCTCATCACCAGGGGCAAAGGGGCGGGGACCCCCAACCTCATCAGCACTGAGTTCTCGGCGGAGCTGCACTACAAGGTGGACGTCCTGCCCTGGATCCTGTGCAAGGGCGACTGGAGCCGGTATAACGAAGCCCGGCCTCCCAACAACGGGCAGAAGTGCACCGAGAGCCCCTCGGACGAAGATTACATCAAGCAGTTCCAAGAGGCCAGGGAGTATTAGAGAGAACAGCTCCGGGATTTGGGACACAAACGCACTGCACTGATCTTCGGCCTGGAGCGCAGTCCCTCTGATCCGCCTTCGTGTGTGTTTGCATGGACCACATGCGTATGTTTCACAAATCACACTAGGCATGGGCGCCAGGCCATGGGTGTCTGCCATCTGAAGCCACCCTTGCCATCTACGATGCCCACAGACCTCCGTGGGACTCCTCCCAGGGGTGGGGTGGGAAGGAGGATGAGGACAGAGAAGCCAGGAGAACCTGGAAGCGACAGTGGGTGGGATTCAAGTCACACCCAGATCCAGGATTTCCTCGCCAAGCAGAGGGGGGAAAGAGACTGATGTTGTAAACATTATAAGTTTTTATCTATAACTTATTTAATATGAATGTGACTTAAGCGTAACCTTTTCTCTGGAGTTGTCATCATGAAAACTTTAATCGCTTCTGTGAGAGTGCAGACAGGGCTTAGGGAGGTGGAGGAGAAAGGGAATGTGTAATGATGTCTTTAAAAATAACTCAATAGAAATATATCAAAACAAGAAAACACCCACCTTATCCCAAATATGATTTAGTCATGAGGCACCTTGCTGAAGTCTCAGTGTCCAAAATGTCCTTGCCTGACTAAGAAAGGGCATGGGGGTAGGGGGGAGGGGGGGCAAATGGATGTTTTAGGGGCAAATCTCAGGCCTGGTTTTAAATAGGCTTTTAAAATAAAAGGCCAATATTAGCCTAATGCTTTGATTCTCCTAAAAGGCTTCAGAATGGCACAATTTCTGTTCATGCCTTAGTAAGTCCAGAAGGCTGCAGGAAAGTCAGACATGAAAACAGAATAGCACTTTTGCAATGATAAAAAAGCAAGATAAATGGGAAAGTAACATGGACCCCCATATCATCTATTTTATTTTAATACCACCTTAGCTTGTTTTTCTTCACCAATATATTCACAGTAAATAAATATAAAAAGAGAAGGAGGACTCAAGTCTAGGAAATCCTAATTTTTTTATGTTTTAAGAAGGGAAAATAACTACATTATTTTTGTAAAGTATTTATTGAGTCATTGAGTCTAGTGCATCAAGCCGTTGTAATTTGACCTGGTTCTGTGGTGTGGAACTTAGGGCAAATAAAGAGTTGGTTATCATGCAATCTTTACTTGCAAAACTCCAGGAAAAGAGAATATATAATAAAATCATAATAAAATGTGTTACCTGCAGTAAATGTGTTACTTGCAAATATTTATGATGCAAATACCATAAAGAGCTCTGATGAAGCAGGGCTCTGAGGCAAGGGCAAGAAAGGTTCAAGCCAAGTGGGGATAAAAGGCTCACTGACTGATGTGGTGGTGGGTGGTGTAAGTCATAGCATCTTTGGCACCAAGAATGTCAGTCCAGCCCCAGGAGGATGAAGCTCACTGACACAGGTACAACGTTTTGCCCCTCCCCCACCCCAGAGCTAAGAAAGAGCTATGAAGACCAAGCCAGAGCAAAGGCTTATGACAGCCCAAGTGAGTGGGGCTGCTTCCAAACAGAATCTGCAATTACAGTAATAAGTAGAACTACTCATAATGCAAATTATTCTTTTTCCAGATGACAAAAGCAAAACTCACATAAAATAGATCACATAAGACCCTTCTTTCACATCCGAGCCCAATGCTCTTTCTACTATATCAAATATTTGGTGTCTTCATATTCCTGGTGTCTTTGGTATTCCAAGTGATCCTACCCTTAGGTTTGTCTAATAAATTCTTGTTCTTATGGAAAATCTCTTATCAGTCATTTACACTTTAGAATGAATTATTCATGTATGGCCCACTCTCAGTATGTTTATATTTGAGATTTATTTCCAATTATGAAATGAGAAGCCTTATTCATATCTGGAGGAATTTTAAGCAACTGAATCATCGGTAGGGAGAGAATCAATAGGTCTACATATCAGGGAAGCAGATTTGGTTTCTGATACTAGGGTAGCTATTTTTGCAAAGAGAGATGATTGCAATGAAATGTGTTACCTTTGAGGTGATGAGTTCTCTGTCAGGGCAGATATTCAAGCAGAGGCTGGAGATGAAACACATGAGAACTTCAACTGAGTGATGAGGAGAGATAAAAATGTACAGCAATAACACCCTCTGATATGTGTTCTATTAAGAGTCAGTGCAAGGTATGATGGGAAAATAGAAGCAGGAATCCAGGAAGTACCTGTTGGGTCTGATGGAGAATTACTATTTCATAAAGCAGCAAAGTGGGAGGATGAAGTGAATGCATTTTGAGTAAAAGAAAAAAAAAAACCCTGTATGGACCAAAACAAGCAGCTAGGAAAGAGTGTGGTGTTTCCTGAAAACTGGGATGTTTAGAGTGATGCGCAGAGAAACAAGAGTGACAAGTTATGGAGCCATGGCACAAGTGTTCATGTTAAGGATTTAGAATGGAAGATTAAAAGTACCAGACCTCTTCTCTCCTACAGTGAGGATAACTGAGATGAGTAATGTTTCCAATGAGCATTTTCGTATCAGCCCTTGCTAATCTAATTAACTGAAAGCTGGAAGGTAGGGTAAATTGGGAGCAGGGGAGAGCTACTGGGCTCTTCGCCTTCTGAGAACACCCCTAGCATTCTGTACCTCATGAGGATAGTCTCACACCTCTGGAAATTTGCTAAGCTATAATCTGCCTCTATCAGGATGAGCTAGTTTTCGGTCCCAAAGCTCTAGGAGGCCAATGAGTGATCCTCAGAAATCGATACCCCTCTGCTCAGGATCTACTAAGACCAGGGGACTTTATCTCTTTCAATAAGGGCCCCAAGCCAGCCCCAGGGTCACCCCAAGTAATTAATTCCCTCATGGGAAGTTTGTCGGCAGCAGAACAGGCTCTCTGCACCCTCCCCTGCAGCACCTGGAACTGTGACCCCTCAGCAGCTGCTCTCATCAAATGCTGTGCTCCTCTGCCTCCCCCTGCAGAGAGTCCCATTTCTAGTAATTCACTGGGCCTCTTGGGTGCCACCTGTGAGCAAACCTATAGTGGCAAACAGAGATGCCCAAGGCCCTCTAGTGGCTGCACATGGGAAGGCCGAGGGAGAGGCTGGGTAGGTGCTGAGCTTTTCTCTTCAGCTCACGTGTGTCCGCCATGATTATAGCCTCCCAAGTGTTTCTGTCTTCGTAGCTCAGTGGCCAGGAGGGTGGAGTTCTCCATTCTAAGCCCGGGGATCAAAGAATAGTTACTATGCCAGCCACTCTTCCTGAGCACACACTTTGTACTTCTGTGCTAATCACTTTACATGGGAGGCAGGCATATTAAGTCCATTGCACAGAAGCCCAACAAAGCTAGTGAACTGGCCCAAGGTACTAACACCCCAGCTGGTTGAAACCAGTTCTGTCTGATCACCAAACCCACGTTCTTAACCAAAACCCCTTGTTCTACTCTCTTCCTAACTCTTCGCAACACTCACAGGATTGGTTGGTTGGTTGGTTGGTTGGTTGGTTTGTCTTTTTGTTATTTGTTTTGCTCCCTCTTACCCTGCCTTTGCTCAATTTGTTCAAATTTGCCAAGTGTCCCTGCGCCACCCTTTATAGTGTCTCACATTGGAGACAGAGGATCTGGCTTCATTTCTACATATTCTGCTTTGTTCTCATTATACAAAAGAAGTTTTGACCCTGTAGCTGAGTCCAGCTCAGATTAGATAAGTAGCAGAGCTCAGCATTTCTAGCAGACCTCCAAGACAAGAACAGAGACTGTCTGTCTCCCTCACTACACATAAACCCCATGCTGTTGCCTGTTGAGTAAACCTCAGGGGTTGGTGTTATGCCTCAGCTTTCCTATAACCCCAGCTCCTAGCACTGCACCTGGCAGATGTTATCAGGCAATGTGCAAAGGGTATAAGAGTTTGAGGGTTGAATTAAACAGCCTGGTTTCCAGTCCTTGCTCCCTTACTTGCCTGCTGGGTACCAGGAGGTAAGTTAACCAGCCTCTAGGCATTTCAGTATCCTCATACAGTTATTGTGAGAATGAACTAAGATAAGAGACGAGAAGTTCCAAGAACAGGGCCTGTCATGTACCATCTGCAGTGAAGGTTGGGCATTGGTATAGAGCAGTGGTCGGCAAACTGCAGCTCGGCAAACTGCGGCTCGTGAGCCACATGTGGCTCTTTGGCCCCTTGAGTGTGGCTCTTCCACAAAATACCGACTTCTGCGCATGGGCCACAAAGTTTCAATCGCACTGTACGTGCGCGCCCGCATGTGGTATTTTGTGGAAGAGCCACACTTCGCGAGCCGTGGTTTGCCGACCACTGGTAGAGTGACTAGACAACTATTTATTGAGCATCTCCTAGTTGCCAGGCATTGTTCCAGATGCCAAAGATACAGCAGTGTACAAATTCAAGTCTTCCTGTTGGAGGATAGACAACCAATAAATAAGTACATAATCTGAGAAAATGGCAAATGATATAAAGAAAAATAAATTATTTGATCACATGTGTATGTTGCATTAAATTTCAAGTAATGCTAGTTACTGTAATAGATAATCCTCAAAATCCCAGTGGCTTACCACAATAAAAATCCAAAGAGTATGTTTCTGGTCCAGTGGCTCTCTTCTAAGTCACAACCCAGGAATCAAGGCATCTTCCATATTGTGGCTTAGCCATCTTCAAGTGTGACTCTAGGGTACCCTGGGGGTCATCTCTATTCCAGCCTGCTTGGAGGACAAAGAGCAGGTAGAATATGCATAAGGGGTTGCATAGGTCAGGCAGGTAAGTATTAGACATCACTCCCACTCAGTTGTCACATATCTGTCCACTGAGCTCCTCTGCAAAGAAGACTGGGAAATAGAGTCTAGCTGGAGGCCCAGAAAGCAGAGATGGGCTGTGTGAGTACCCAGCCAGTCCCCGCTGCAGAGGTAGACCTCCCACTACCTGATTACACAGACAGGAATGAAAGCTAGTGGAAAGGGCTTTGCATGGGCCCAAAGTAGGTGACTAAAAAGAGAGCTCCTTCTCGTGCCATCAGCACCTTCTACTTGGTATTATAGAGCTAACCCAGACCTCAGTTCACTATCGATAAATTAGAGAAGACACCCATCCTACCTGCTCATTGGCAGATGCTTTTGATGTCCTTCACATCTGCTTGGCACTTGCCATACCTGTGTATACCAGCCCAACTTTCAATTGGAAGCTCCTGCAACTCTTTATCTCGTGGCTTACTCTAGCCAGTGGGGCCCACTCGGCTTGCACAGGGGCAGACTGAGGTGCAAGTGTCCCCCAGGAGAACTTAACAGTTGACAGGCAGAAGCTTGGTGGATCAAAGCCCAGCTCCCTCACCCCTCAAGTGGGGCTAGTCTCAAGCACATTGTATACCATTTCCGGAGCTCCCAGTGGGACGGAGCTCCAGTTGTCCACGGTGGTCACCTGCTTGTTTAAACACCATTTATTGACTTCCTTCCCGTCCTTGTCTTGCATTTACACTTCCCTGCTCTTACTCACTGGAATCATCTCCCAAACCAAGACATCACTTTATGCTTTAATACTCACTAGGCACTATTCAAATATAATCTTATTATTAGTGTCATCATGCTTATGTGGAGATGAGGTTGTGCTGGTGGTCGCTCTACCAAAAAAGAAACTTGAATCTCATTCTGAGCAGAGATAAGAGCTCTACTAAATTTCAATACCATTGAGTTATTACCAAAAAATAAACTCCTAATTTTTATGATGGGATGCAACAGATAGAAAATGACTCTGCCAAATACCTCTCAAAGCTTCTGCACATCTTTTCTTAATTTTTGAATTCATCTACTTGCTGGCTATAGACCAGTCCTATTCTATGAACCACACTTTGAGCCACAGTGAGCGACACCCCTGTGAGCAGTGATTCTGGCCTGATGTTCAAAAAGTCACGCAAAAGCTCCTCAGGAAGTATGTGTGGTGAGGAGAGAGGATGGGGTTTTCTCTTTGTCATCCATTTACAATTTCCAATGGAAAAATGTGTGGGTTGTCACCATTATGCCTGAATAATTTCAGACTAATTAAAGGCTTGCCTCAGTAATTACTGGGTGGGTATATACAGAAACATATATCCATGCATACAAATCCTGAATACAGTAGTGTAGATTAGGGCAGAAAGCTTACAGCCAGGGCTTTTCTGAAGTTTAGTATTGGTTTACCCTATGGGATTAGAAGAGAGACATTTTCCTGGATCAGAAGGTAAGACTTTTCAGAAACAAAATTATGTGGCTAGCAAATCATTTTTTTAATTCTCCCCTGAGGATATGTTTTTATTGATTGTTTTTAGAGAGAGAGAAACATCAGTGTGAGAGAGAAACATCAATCAGTTACCTCATGTGCATGCCCTAACCAGGCATTGAACCCACAAACTTTTAGTGGATGGGATGACACTACAACCAACTAAGCCACCCAGTCAGGGTGGGACTAGAAACTTTGTTGAACCCCAGCAGAAGAACAAAGATTAGATACAGATTTTTTTTTAGATCTCTATGTAGAGATTTGGAAAGCCAACACATAAAGACCAGTTCCTTGCCTGTAATGGCAAAAATAACATCATCCTTAACCATTTTA